ATCTCTGCCACTTTTACATGCAGAGCTGTTTCTCTTTGTAAATATACTATTTTCGTCAAGCTAAGCGCGCGCGCGCGCGTGTATATGTACATGTCTGTGTGTAAAAGTTCATTATAACTTTGGAATGGTTTGACCGAAGAAAACGCAGTTTAAGACATTCGCAAGAGTTATATTGTCATCAGTCATCAGATTTCGTTTTGGGATAACTTTTAAACTAGAGAATTGATCAATTCTCTAATGGAATGCTCAAAACATCGTGTTTAACACCGTAAACTAGATCAAAACAGGTGAATTCGTTCCATAGATATCGCTACCGAATTAATTAAAAAAATGTGTTTTTTTTACATAACTCTGAAATTTTGCGTTAGATCATTTTTAAAAAATCTGGAAAATCTAAAAGTGCACGACTCATAATGCTCATTTAATTATGAAATTATAATTAAATAACGCGACTGTGAAAATAAATATAAAACAGCTGAAATAGAACGATAATGCGCAAGCGCCCCTAGTGGGATAAATCCACACAATATATAGGGGAACCTGGGGCACGAAGGCCCCCCTCAAAAATTAGGTAAAAATTTTTTTTTTCAATTTTCCTCAAGTTATGACCTCTACAATATTTTTATGATATTTTGGGCCAGTATGTAATATGTGGGGCATAATGGACCAGGCGAGAAAAAAATTGTAACGAAAAAAAAATTTTTTTTTTTTTCAAATTGTGATAAATTTTTGGTAATATGAATTAGAAAAAATTTAATTGAACTAAAAAATTTAACAAAAAATTGAATCATACAGGGGAGAGAGGTACACGACGGTTCCGGGCATAACGGCCCCTCTCATAAATTAAGTAAAATTTTTTTTTCCATTTTCCGTCAAGTTATGGCCTCTATGATGTTTTTATGATATTTCGGGCCAAAATGTGATATGTGGGGCATAATGGACCACTCGAAAAAAAAAAATGACAAATTTAAAGAATTCATTATTTTAGGCCTTTTCAGGTCAATGAATCAGACAGAAATCTAATCTCAAAGTTCTATTTAAATTCCTCCAAGGATATCTTACTCTACGCAATTCATATTTCTAATTTTAACTTGATAAAAATATAAAAAAAAAGGTTTGGTTCAAGATATCACGTATTTAAAAAGCTCAATCTGAAAATTCAACCTGTGATTTCAATCAATGTAAACTATAATGTTACCAATTCATTGCTAAATAACATCTCGGTATTTTTCTTGTACGTAGGTTTAAAACCTCTGAGTGCAATAAAAGAAATTAATTATATTTTTAATTATTATCTATTAAAAACTAATTAACAGCTTAACAATAACATTTATAATAATTTTTTAAGACGTTAACAAAAATTACACTTTGAATAAACCATGAAATATAAATGTTCGATGATTAGAAAATCACATCGAGATACTTTAATGAATATACGATTATTCGCAATGATCACAAACATATTCGTCAGAATAATCTTCGCCAATTCCTGCGCAAGAATCATAAGACCATTTATTACAATTTTTACATTGAAACCATGACTCTGAGGACCCAGGAAAGTCCATTGCAATACAGACAATGGCAATCATCATTTTTATATTTAAAATGTTTTTTTTTTTTTCAAATTTTTTGGTTTTGATTTTATTTATTTATTTTTTTTTTTTTATTTAATTGAGGTCTTTTTTTTTGCTTCATGTTGATTTTTTTTTCTGTGAATTCTTGGCGATACTCAAGACTCGTAAGAATCGTGGTTTTCCCTCGACGACGTTTTCTGGGAGGAGAATCTCTAGATTTTGATGGTAAGAGCTTTAGTAAAAAAAAATTTCTTTTCATATGATTTTTTGAGGAGGGGGCCGTCGTGCCCCAGAAAAAAAAAATTTTGTTTCGATTTTTTGCAAAATTTAGACTGATTCGTTCGAAATAGATAGGAAATAAATTAATTTGATGGTTAAAAGCCACAAAAAGGAAAAATAGGCTTAAGGGGGATGTCGTGCCCCAGGCTCTCCGATAGATATACAGTCTTTTGGTTTTTTTTTTAATTTTATTAATTGCAAATAAACGACTCTGAGTTACCTAGCCATTCGCATTCGATGACCCACAATTCTTTCAAAGAATTAAAAATAAAATTTTTTGACTCAATCAATGGATTTTTTCGCAAGTTGCAGTATTTTCAGGGTTTCATACATGACGGATAGGAACATTTTTTAAACTATTTTGATGTTTTTTTCCGTTTCTTTTGCACTTAATAAATTTTTGAAAAGTATGGAACTAATCTTCATTTAATTATCTTGACAATAGCATGCAAAATATCTTGATTCCGTGAACTAACAAGGCTATAGTAATAAAAATTTTTCGATCGTAAAGCACTCTCTGATGCTTCACATCATGAGTTGTGCAATAGAATGTTATATTTTTGAGCTTAATAAATTGCATTAAATCCCGCAAACTATATTAAGTTGGGTAGATTGGTTGGGAGATATTACAAATTAAAATTCACACAAAGCAGTTCGTCGAACATGACTTGTAAATTTTGAGCTCGAAATATATAAGTCGTATTAAATATTTTGATCAACTTGAGCTCAAACATAGCGAGAAATTCCCGATACTGTTTGGAGAGTCAACCGTTTTTCAGATTTTTTTTTTATTTTAGTGGTGTACTTATAATGTATCGTATACACATATATTAAAAAAATATAGTTTCGTGACTCTGTTATTGTACAATCCACCGTTGAATAAAAGAATAAATAAATTAATCAAAATAAAGTTCACCTTGCAAAAAGCGAGCCAATATCAACAGTACATATTTCATAACTTCTGCTGTGGGGTATCGTGATATAAAATTTAGACGCACCAAATAAATGATTTGGCGCATACTTTTGCACAGAATGTAACAAAAATTTAGAGAATTAGTTCATTCATCAGCTAATAAATGCTTAGGTAGTCAATGAATATTTGCTTAAATTTTATTCTTCTGTTCAGTACTTTATAGAACGCATACTTGATTAATACAAAGACTTTATATTTTAGTAACAAAATTCATGACTTTTCATCTCAGAACGAGTATTAATAAGATATACATATGGCAACCAGAATGGAATTCTCAGAGATAAAATTACTGAATAATTTCGTACGATTATAAACCCTGAAGATTCATTGTTTGATTCTTTTAATTCATATTTGCAATCAGCTTCTAACTGAGTGTCGTTTTTTTCTCTTTATAAACTTATAAGAGCACACGGAGAGAAAAATATGGAAATCATTCCTATAATTTTAATGAAATATTTTCCTATACCATTTTAGGAGCGATTACTTAAATTATGGGAATTATACCCATAATTTTTGGGAAACGTTACTATAATTATGGGAATGGTTCCTATAATTATAGGAACGATACCTATAATTATAACTGTAATATCGGCATGATTCCCATAATATATAGGAATGGTTCCCATAATATATAGGAATAGTTTCCATAATATTATAGGAACCATTCCTACAATATTATGGGAACCATTCCAATTACTTTTTACTAGATTTATTTTTTTTTTTGATTAAGTGATTCTTTTGTTATAATATATAAATTGATGAAAAAAGTTATCAGTCATAATATTCATTATTATTATCATTATGATAAACAATGAATTTCCATATCTATTTTGCTCCTACAATTGTATAGTGAGAAAATATCCTTTTTATTAGAGAAACTTTGAAATTGCTACAATATTTTTCAATATTATTTAACACAATAATAACTGAGCTGGAATAAATAATTCAAGATTAAGTACACACGTAAATAAAAATTATGAAAAAGAAATTTTTTCACTCTAGTGAAAGATCAATTTTTATTTACAAAAAACAATTTTATTAGCAAAAAAATACATAATAATTACTTTATATTTTTGAAGTGATTGCTTCATTATTAAGAAAATAAACTTTTTTCTATTATTATGTGCGTCATTCCCATAATATTATAGGAACCATTCCTATAATATTATAGGAACCATTCCCATAATATAGGAACCATTCCCATAATATATTGAAGCTATTCCATTATTGTATAGGAACGTTTCCAATAAATTATAGGTATGGTTCCCATAATGAGTATAGGATTAATGCCTATAATGATAATTTTATTATAGGATCCATTCCCATAATTGTTGGAAAGATTCCTATAAATTTCTCTCCGTGCAGCATTCGATAATTAATATAAAGAAATGAGCTGTTTCGATTAAATTTTTAACACATCACACAAAAGTAAGTTAACTGACTTGAATTTTCTTTTTATTATCTTCAAGTATTTAAGAGTTCACTCAAATCATCTTCTATAGAAGCATATTTCACGTCATATCGACCACTTTTGAATCCATTTTTAGCGGAAAAAATTTTTTTCTACCTCATTGTAAATTTTTCAGGTGAATGTCTTAAGAGCCATGGAAAAAAATGGTTATTTTTATTTTAAAATAACCACGATTTTTCGAAAAACTTATTTCATGCGACAATTATTTTTACTTGCCGCTATGAAAATATCATATAAAACTAAAAATAACGGTAAAACTATGTTTTTAGTTATAATTTAATTTAATTTTTTTTCTTTCTTTCAAAGAATTGCAGATATATAAAAAAAAGATCGGAAATCCACTACTAATTTAATCAAGGTTTCTAAAAAAGAAATGAACATCTTCTTTCTAATAGATATAGAATTGAAGGTTTCCATAACATCAGTGAAGTTCACTATAATATCAATGAGAGACGATCTATTTTTGTTATATCTAATAATATATTAATGAGCTATTTTAAACTTAAATAACACCTGAGTTAACTTTCCACTGATTCAACTTCATAAAATCTGTTTTCGATTGAAAGATGTAAAAAAGAAATAAGAAGAAATTTAATAATTAATGAGCGCATCAGACATCCGAGAATGGAAAATTTTTCAGTTAATTGAAATAATATAGAGGTATTATTGTCATGGAAACTCGAAGAAAATCTTATATCAAAATATGAGACATTCTATTCCGAAGTAAGTACGTATGATATATTAAATTTAAATGTACCTCACGTCATTGTGTACCTACTACTTGTATAAATTCCCGACTATATTTTATAATTAATTTCTTTTTCCCTCAAAATTGACATCCTAGACGACTAAAATATTTATCAGGATAAATTTAATATTGCTCTCGTATGAACGCATCAATTACTAACGAGTAATATACTATAATCGAGGTAATTATAATATTTTCAAATCGTCTAGTTCATTTATCAATTTATTCAGTTGGCGCGACGTCTTGCTAGTTAACATTTTAATAATTAACTCTCATTACTCATTATTATTAACCACTAGTCTCGAGGTTACTCTTTAGTCTTTATAGAGATATATTATTCAATTTCATTTATATTAAATTATTTTCGTCATTAGCATATTTATCATCGGATATTAAATTTTTAATTAATGTAAACTATAAAAATATCAATCTATTAATATTATTAACATTAATTAATATTACATACCAAGAAAAAAATATTGCTACTGGAGCCATCTACTAGATAGCTACTCGTACACTGTGAAAAATTTCGGTGTAAAAGTGTACCAGGAGCACTTTACACGACCGTGTAATGTGAAATAATGATGTAAAATTCTCGCGGTGTAAATTTTCCATCCGTGTATTTTTAACCCAGTGAAATCTACTTTTTCTTTCACTATTTTCAAAATTTTTCACTGTGTAATGATATTTTTAAAGATATAAGCTCATTTCGATATTACACTCATCGATACCTTTCATTTGAGTACCCACATCAATTTTTTATATATTTTATAAATTTCACACTTATTATATAGGTGTACTATATATTTAAGATTAATGTATTTTTATATAAAAAGAATTAAAAAAGTTTCGCTTCTAATAATTTCACGCGTTTTAATTATTTCTTTTTAAGAATCTCAGAAGAGTGAAGTACATGATTACAAATAAAAATGACTGCACCCATACAATTTGACAATTGGAGATAACCATAAATTTTTCAGCGTGTATAGTCGATATTTAATTTCTGTGCACAAAATTATCGTGAATTATACATTTACACGGTGACGGTGTAAAAATATTAAATTCACATCCCCTAAATTTAACACGGTATTTGGTGTGATTTTCACACGAAAATTTTTACACCGACTCATTTACTCTACACTAGGTGCAAAAAATTTTTTATCGTGTAATTTAGCTTAAAATCAGTTTAAATTTTTTGACCCGGGAGATGAAAAGAATGAAGCAGAAGAAGAAATGGAAACAACACCAACTACGAAAACTAAAGTTTTACCAATAGTCGTAGATATTGCAACCATCAATCTGGATTACACTAAAACACTAATCAAAAAAGTCAAAGAAATAATGCCAGAAACTACTATGAAATACACACCGAAACAGCTCACTTTTTACACGAAAAGTGTAAACAACTATCAAACAATTATTGAACACCTAAACAAAAATAAAATTTGCTACCACACATGCAGTCGAAAAGAAGATCTCGATAAAAAATTCGTCATCAAGGGCTTGCCACCTATTGATATCGAAGAATTAACAACCAGTACAACTGATCAAGGTGTCATACCTAAAAAACTAGCAAAGATGAAACGACAAAAAAAACCATCTGACCCCACTGAAGAGAGCTTTGCCACATATTACTTAGCAGTTACTCCAGAAGCAGACGCATCTAGCATCTTTAAAATTAAACACCTATGTGGACTGAGAGTCAAATGGGAAAAATATAAAAACCCGAAGCAAGTCACCCAATGCTATAATTGTCAGAGATTTGGCCATGGCACCTCCAATTGCCATTTGACACCACGGTGTGTCAAATGTGCTGAAAACCATTTAACAAAAGATTGCACAAAAAAGCCAGAAGAAAATCCTAAATGTGTCAACTGCAAAGGTGAACATCCAGCCAACTGAACAACATCGAACTACAGAGGCAAAAGAATAACCATAAGAAAATGCCACCAGCACCAGAAGTCAACGAGAGAAATTTCCCTCAACTACAAGTGAAACGACGTCTTAACCACGAACAGCAACAACAAGACCCATCAGCAGCAACAACAACAAACTATGGTAATTCTAGTTTTAGTTCCAAGGTAAAAAATCTATTTCAATTTAAACAATTTGAAGAAAATATAAACGATTTCCAAGATCTTATAAATAAATTAAATAAATTTAATGAAATGTTCAATATTAAGTCTATGCTAAACATGATTAGAAATCTTAATAATTTAATGAAAGATAAAAAAAGCGAATCAGAACGCTGCCTAACACTATTTAACTTTCTAGATAATGCGAACAATAATGAACAAAAATAATTTATCATTTAATTTAAAAATAGCACATTGGAATGCCAATGGTTTGACACACAAATGGTCTGAACTCAAAAACTTTATTAATCATAATAACATAGACTTAATGTTAATTAACGAAATTCGTGCTTCACCAAAATATCAATTTAAATTAAGTGGATGTACTAGTCATAGATTAGATAGACCTGGTCAAAATGCAGGCGGAGGCCTTTTAATTCTAGTAAAAAGCAATATTAAACATAGTCCTTTAAACTTAAATTATAATTTTTCAACCCTAGAAGCTATTGGAGTTAAAATAGAAAACTCATTAGCAGTAATATCAGTTTATGCCAGACCGACTCTTAATAATAAAGTAAATGTAGTTGACACTGAAGATCTCGATAGGCTGATGGGCTGTGCTTCAAAGGTCATAGCTATAGGCGATTATAATGCCAAACATACAACATGGGGGTGCAAAGCATCTAATGCTTGCGGCCGAACCATTCATAACTATATTAACAATAAACACTTAACACTAGTAGCTCCTCAAACCTACACCCTCTACCCGACAAACAACGGACAAGCAAGTATTGTTGATTTCGCGATAGTTAAAAATTGCAATACAATATCTAATATAGAAGCAATTAACGAATTAGATTCTGACCATCTACCGGTAATTATGGAACTAGGCATTTCTGATGATATACGACATAGTCAACGCTATATAACAAACTATAAAAAAGCAAACTGGCAGTTGTTTAGAAATATAATTAATGATAAACTAATAATAAACTCAAAAATTTCTATCAAAGTAGATGTTGATTATACAGTGGACCAATTAGAAAATATTATTATAGAGGCTAAAAATAAAGCAATACCTGAAATAACTATCAAACCGTATATCACAGAACTACCTAGTGACATAAAAGACTTAATATGACAAAGAAACGCTGCTAGATGCAAATATCAAAGAACAAGATTAGATAATTACAAAAAACTTAAAAACTCCTTAACAAATGAAATTAACTCCCGAATACGCGATTTCAACAATAAAATGTGGGATAAAAAACTTAATAAATTATCAGTAAAAGATAATTCCATATGGAAAATAGCAAAATCCTTTACTAAGAAATTTGACAACTTGATACCTACACTACATGGACCGAACGGTTTAGCATTTTCGGAGGTAGACAAAGTAAATACACTTGCCGAAAACTTCGAAAGAGTACACCACTTGACAGAAAATGATGGAGACGATGAAACAGAAACAATAGTTAATCAAACCTATTTTGGAATCATAAAAGAAATTATAAACACTGACGACATAGAACTCACTAGCCCAAGAGAAATCCTTAAAGCAATAAAAAAAACAAAACCTAGAAAAGCACCAGGACCGGACGGAATGTATTCCGTAGAACATACTGCTAAAAAACCTACCCAAAAAAGCAATTGTACAAATTATGTATATTTTTAATACCTGTATGAAAATATCTTATTTCCCGACTTCGTAGAAAAAAGCCAATGTACTGGCTTTTCCTAAACCCAACAAAGATAAACTCTTTCCGCAGAATTACCGTCCTATTAGCCTGTTACCGACTCTTAGCAAAATCTTTGAAATAATTATTCATAATAGAATTAAAACATACGAAAAAAACAATAATATTATGAGAGAAGAACAATTCGGTTTTAGAGAAAAAAGAAGCACAATCCATCAGCTTACCCGGATCGTAAATTATATAGCAAATAACTATAATATTAATAAATCAACAGCTATGGTATTGCTTGATATAGAAAAAGCATTTGATACGGTCTGGCATAAAGGCCTAATATATAAACTAGCAACTATTGGATTACCATTGTATATTGTAAAACTATTACAAAACTATCTAAAAAATAGAACAGTCAGTGTCATCGTCAATGGTACTAAATCAAATACACAACACATAACGGCCGGAGTGCAACAAGGTTCAATTTTAGGACCTCAACTTTTTTTTGAAAATAATCTGAGGAGTTTTAATTTTAGAAACCTACCACCGTGAATCCTGGAACCCGCTGAACTTATCCCAGCATAAATACAAATTTATTATGTTCAAACGTAGATTTGTTTAGAGATAAGCAAATTAAACGTTACAAATTGTTAAAAATTTCCAACAAACTAATTTCTTGTCACAAGAATGTCCATATTTTTCAAAAGAAGTTTTTTCTTTCAGTGTATGTACATTAATATACACTGGTTACAAATAGTTTTGTCATCTCAACACCTCAAAATTCTTCAGTATTAAAATTGTTTAATCATCAAAACAACACAGATGAAAAAAATATTGGTACTGGAGCCATCTACTAGATAGCCATTCGTAGATCGCTACTGCAGCAATACGTATTCCTACAGTAGCAATACTATATGGCTCTGGTAGAAATACTTTAGATGGCTAAGAGAGTTGTACTACATTTTCAAACGGCGTATAAATTCTCGTATGAATTTTTTAAGTTTTCTCGAAATAACTTTTAAAGTATTTGATTAAACAACTCCAGTATTCAGAGACACTTTTTTAATTAGAAATCTGCGTTGAATGCTGTCAAGTAAGTCAAAATCAAATATCGCGTTTGAAAGTTATAGCCATTTAAAAATTTCTAAATGATTGTTTTTTTTTTTTTAATTTTTGAGCTTGGAGAACTCAAAAATCAACCAATATGAAGATTTTCGAACGTTTCAAGCTCGAAAAAAACGAGAAGTTCCAGGGATGGCCTACTGGTTAACCGTTTTTCAGATTTTTAACTTCCCGCTAAGAACATTGAAAAATTTTTTTTCATGTAATAGGAGTATTAAAAAATGTTTTTCAATTATAATTTTAATTTTAAATAAAATATAGTTGTGAGATTGACGTAGAAATAGGACAAAACTTTAATATTTTCTTTTCTCCGTGCACGTGATAATGGGGATTTTAAAGAAACAAAACTCGTGATCAGAATTTTTGTCCAATAGCATGGATAAAAATCGTCAGTGAATCTTGTTAAATCTTTCTGTACAAGACTAATACATGGTGGATATATCTAGGTAGGAGCGTACTATACGCATTATAGGGTTTCAGATCAGCAGACTGCACTAACTATAATCAGTGCTGGGCGTTGTAGCGTGTTTCTCGGATATAGGTTTGCTTCAGTGTTCCCCTGGAGGCTTGGGGCTAGTCGTGGAAGGGTGCTTGAGTCTTCACTACACACATCCGTACATATCACATACTTATAGATAGATCTGAAGTTGGGTGTGCGTGTGAGAGTGTGTAAGAGCAGATTTATTCGAGAGAGTGAGAAAGATAGTTTGAGGGCGACAGACCATGAGAGTTGGTCCGTTAGCCATATATGTGGTTCTCGAGAATTTCCTAGCGGTCTCTGGATCGTTCCGGGAACGTACTACGTGTGTGGTCGTTGTTTCGCCCTCTCGGTGTCTCCTCGTGTGCTACCACAACCCTCGTCGAACTCGTCCAGTGTGGACGTTAATCCTCTTAAGCGTTAAGTGGCGCGCCTAAATATCAATCACGGCACACGTATCGAATCTCCTGATGAGTATGATTCGAACGAGACCCAGGCAAGGAGTCTATTAAAAATTAAATTCTTAAAGTCAGGATAATGTAATGCATACGGGACGGCTTTTCAATAAAAAATCACAGTACATTCAATGATTAGTTTCACTTTTGCGAACGCTCATTATTTATTATGCTTCGACTTTATTGATTATTTAATTAATAAAAGTAACTATAAATTAATTGTGATTTTAATTTGCGTGAAATGAATTATGTAGTTGCGTATGAATAAACGAAAAAGTAGCTGTAGTAAAAATATGATACGAATCATGTGAGGGATATCGGAATGATATGCTAAAAATAAAAGTTTTTTATGAAAATTTCCGAATTGTGGACAAGTTGCATTTGAACTTTTATTAACTTATAATTCGTTTCAAATTACAGAATAATGATATGTCATGTTGACTTTTCGTCATTGATAACTCAAAAGGTACAATCCATCGCGAGGAAAGTGAGAAAACGCTGTATAGCTGAATTGGTTGTTTGGCGTACATTGCTAAACAAAATCAGTATCCAGCGGACAGTCAGAATAGCGATAGATATTCTTATTCTGACAATATTTTTCTCTACGTGTATTCCTGGTTAACAAATTTGTCTCTTGAATCAAGTTAATTTTTTATCAGTGAAACCTGTATAAGTGAAACTTGAAGGGACTAAGATTTTTTTCTCATTTATAGAGGTTTCTCATTTAACCGAGTTTCTCACACAGAGGGAAACTCAGATAGACAAGGTCAGAGAATAATAAATAGAAATAGAAAATATACATTAAATACTGTATGATAGAATATGAAATAATACAATATACATAACGAAATACAGTAATTCACTTATAGAATTCGGTCATTTTAGTTTGCTTTAAGTTACAATCAGCAGTCAACAATTTTTCAATAACAAATAATTTGTCAAAAATAGTTTTATCATCAATATTAGAAAATTCAAAATATTTATGCAATGTCCACAATGCTTTTTCCGCGTCAGATTTGGATACTTTCTCAACTGTTGCTTCTTCTTCTTCTTCTTCTTCTTCTTCCTTCACTGTGTAATAATCAGTACAAAAAATGTTCAAAAATCGGAAACTAACACTAGTTTCTGTTTGTTGGCGTATAGTCAATTATCAAATTTATGCTTAACACTTATTACAATTTTGGATAGTAGAAAAACTTTCTTCACCTCGAAACTGAAAATTGCATTATTTTTGAGATGTAACAAATATTACAGTTTCATATACGTACACGGAAAAAAATTTATTGTTGCTGCTGTCAGGAGGCAGTCATGTTGCAGCAACAGGAAAAAATCCTGTTGCAGCAACAGGATTTTCCTGCAGCTGCAACAGGAGGCAGCCATGTTGCAATAACAGGAAAAAATCCTGTGTAGCAACAGGAATTTTTTCCTGTTGTTGCG